GAATGTTCTCTCACACTTCTTTATTTTCAATTAAATTACCTATTAGTGAATGAAAAACAACAAAACAATAACAAAAATCTTGCTTACCCCTCCCTGAGCTGTAAAATAATACATAGTTTGCCCAGAGAGTATGTTTTGGGAGATAGATAAGCAAATTGAATTGTAAATACTGATTTCTTTCTCTAGACTATCATAAACTGTCTTTTCTTAGATGTAAGTATATTTTTAAAAATTGCTGATACTGGTAAGTTGCATCCTTGTTGGATATTTGCATAAATGTTGTTATTCCTAGTGGAGGCTTAAATGTTTAATTTGAGCATTTAAGCAAGTTGTTTGGTGACTATCTTGGCCCATGGTCAACTGCTTTCCAGGGAAATCAAATAACCCAGAGAGTAGACAGTGTGCTCTCACTGTGTAAACATGTGAGGACACTCAGGTTGGAAGTTGGGTTGTAAGTCATGTCTTCTGATTTCCAACCAGTGTTGACTTTTCATAGGAATTATGTATACTAAAGTGGAAATATGTGTAAATTAAATTTTGCTCAATTAACTCACTTGTTTATTTGCTTTCTCCCAACATAGCCTTCATTTCTAACTAGTTTATAATAGTGGCATGTGGGAGTGGTGGCTGCCTTAAATGCACTGAGAAGCAATAGCTGACAGGAAGGGAGGAACAACAAGCAATCTCAACCAGATAAACCACTACAGTTTAGGGGTGCTTAGCAAATAGCCCCACACCCTCTTCAGCTCCAGAAGAAAGCACAGCACAATTATGATATTTGTTAAGATAACTCTGTGTTATCAACAAAAGCTTCAATTATGTTCAGTATACTCTACTTATGAAGGCAAGGGAGTAGCTTATTTTAAGATTTCCGTTTGGAGTGATTTACTGTTAAAGGGAGGTCAACATTACATTATTTAGAAATGAATTCAACCAGATTCACACCTTCTATACTGCATCGCCCTGATTGAGGTTGCTAGATATGGACAGGACTGAGAGAGAGTGATACATGCAGCTGTTCAGATGAACCAGAAACTTGATAAGGGAGGCAGAGAAGTAGTACACCTGTTTAAAATCACATGTACTAAAATAGAAGATCTATTATGGGATCATATATTAAATTTGTCTTTCTCATTGAATCGCATATGAAAGTGGGAACTTTCTGTCTTTGAAACAAAAGCAGGAACTAAACAAATGTGTTTTAGTGATTTTTAGAAATATATTCTATAATTTTCTTCTTCTTTTTTTTTTTTTTGGCAATTACATTCCAGAGAGGATTGTGTCCAGTTTTTTGTCTTTCTGTAAATGTGCAGTGAACAGTACTGCCAATTTAATAAAAAAACAAGCAAGTGATTAGCTGAATATACTTGTGCTATGATGTTGAAAAATCAAATGGGTACATCTAAAAGAGTCTAAAAATTGAGGATGTGGGAAATATTTTTCAGTAGCTTTTTTTTCCTCAGGTTTTCAAAATTAGAAAAAAAACCTCGAAAATTATAATGTGTAATATTTAAAAGTCATTTCAAGCATTCAGGCACTAATGACATAAAATGTTTATTCACATCTGAAGGCATATATTCACCTTTTATTAAAAGGGAGAAATAGACATTCTTCAGTGTCTCCAAAAAAGTGTTGGATATGGAGGAGACAGGTAAAATTTTGTTCTGAAGGAATTTGTTTCTTACCTAACATAAGAAAGTAGTAGGAAAACCCCTAACTTTGAAACCATGGAACTGTTTATTGGTCTAAACACACATCATTTTGTATTAAGAGGAGAGGCAGAAGAAACATTCACTTTCTGCACTTTTGGTGGGTATTCCCCAAATGATAAGCCTACATCATTTTCTTCTACTGTTCTCTCTATATATGTTTATTCACTAATACTTATTTTTGAGCCATTGTGAAAATTCATCTGTATAGTAATCTAGACTTTCTTTTGGACTTTACTCCTTGTGTTTTAGGGGGCGAGCCATGAGAGGGTATCTCGTGGTCATATTCCTGAGTGCTGTCTTCCTCTATTATGTGCTGCATTGTATATTATGGGGAACAAATGTCTATTGGTAAGTTTCATTTTTGCTATTTGAAAATAACTTCCAAACTAGTCTTTCTTTTTTTTTTTTTTTTTTTTTTTTTTTTT